GAGACTTTTGACTATATAAAAATTGTAATTAAACAAAGAATACTGCTGGCAGTATTCTTCAAAGTAGAAAAGCGCGTTTTTCTTCTTTGTTTTATTTTCTTTCCATTAAAATACTTTGATATTATTAGGAAAAATTTTTCCTGATATTTTAAATATGACCAGAATAATCTATGAATATAACCAAAATAAAAATATTTTGATATGCAATTTATTTGCGACATTTAGGAAATACTTTATTGTTTGTGCTAGAAATGTGGATAATTTTAAAATTAATTTTTCAAATGTTTTTGCTAAACTTTGTTTTGTTGTTTTTATCAATCGACAGGAAAGTGAGAGAACTAATTGCTTTTTTTTTATTTCAAGTTTTTCATGTAAAAAATAATGTCATTAATAAAATCATTTAAATAAAATATTTGTTTGTTTTTACTATTTAAATAGTCTGCACTATTGTTGGATTTTCCAAATTGTGCATTTAAATCTGATAGTTTATTTTCTGATGAATTATTTGTTATTAATGCTGCTCAAAAAGCTTTTGGGCTAGTGCATTGTTAATTTACTAAACTGTTTTTACGAAAATTTTTAGGAACCTATTTAAAATTTTTTTTTAAGTTTTTAAATACATTTTTTTAAACAGAGCAATCCTTATGTTCATTATCTCTAGTGATTCGTATTAGCAAAGGAAATTGGGCAATATAGAGGTAACAAGTTCAGACAGGCATCAAGTGCGGTAAATACATTTTTAAAAGAAATCATGTTAATCTTTTGTTTAACTTTTTCTGTCATTACAAAATTTATTAATCAAGTAATATATTTTATAAATAAATAGCCATTTTCTTATTTTCCTATTATATAAGTATTAAGAAAAAGTTAAATGTAGCTAAAATATTTTTAAAAGCAAAAAGATGCAAAAATGAATAAACTTAAGAAAAAAATTTAAAAAAATTTCTCATTTTGTTAATTTCTAGTTCTTGTGTACATAACAAATTAGTTCCTTAATTATATGGACTGATAAAAACGGTGAATAAATTGCATATCAACATTTTTAATTGTTGTTGAGTTGTTATAAAATATAACATGTTTTTTTCTTGTATCAAATTCTGTAGCTAAAAATAACAACCACCCTAAAAAAAAAAAAAAATAGCAAAGTTGTATAGAAAATTTTTTATTTTCTATTTTTTAAATTATTAGGTCTTGTTTATTTATTTAAAATTTGATATCGTTTCATTTTTGTTTCCTTTTTTAGAATTGTTATTTTTTCTCAGTAGTTTTTCTCATTAGTTTAGCTTTTTGCCACAAATTATTGAAATACTTTAAAAGTTAAAAGATGCTAACTGCTGCGGTTAGTGTGTATAAAAAAATTACTAAATGTAAACAAACAAGGCATGCGACTGCAAACACTTCCTAAGTAGGCTTGTATTGTTTTTTATCAAATTTCAACTGATTTTTTACTACCATTACCATTCTAAATATATTGCCAAGATGCAACATTCAGTTATGGTTGTGCAGTCCAATTTTATTTTTCACATGCACAAGCAGTGATTCTTGTTTATTTCTGCTCTCCAATCATTACTCTAGCTTTATCATCCTGACTGCTAAAATATTCTCTATCCTAGAGTTAGAATGTCAAAGTTAGCTGTATTCAAATCAATACTATAGACTCAATACTGAGTCTTTTAGATATGCATTCGTTTCATCAGTTATAAATACAATTCAATCAGCACTTTGTGTAATAAACAAACTATAAGTTAGTATAGGAAGTTATTTACAATAGGAAGTTATAAGTGAAGTTGTAATAGCAAATAACTAATTAGTGTCACCATATAAATGCTTATAAATAATTGCATTTATATAAGACTGTATTGCAAATATCTCCAGAGTTTAGTTAGTATAAAAATAATGTTGAATTTCACTAAAAGATATTGGCATTTTTAGCAGAATTGACAACAATTGTTTATGTGAAACTACAAGCTATTTTAGCAAAATGCCAACAAAACTTGGTTTAAAGTTAATTTACAGAGTTCAGCAAGATTGAAAATTATTCAGTTACATAAAAAAAATTGAGCTGGTTTGTAAGTTAGTTGGTGTAAGCCATCAAGCAAGTGTGGTTCCCTTCAATCTAATTGATGATGCGTTTGCAGTTAGCAAAAACTGACAAAGAAGAATTTGAAAAAATAAAGGTGGCTCTGTTAAAACCATTTGCTGTTGATGCATTTACAGCCTACAAACAATTTATTATGAGAAAGATAAAACATGGAGAGTCAGTTGTTGTCGGTTTTGCAGAACTATGCAGGTTGTCTACCCTATATAGTGGACCTTTAATTATTTTTATTTTAATCATATAATTTTTTCTTATCATTTACAATAATTTTTTCCCCTACTTTTTGGAGTATGATGTTACTTATGGCTGGACTTCTTCCTTTTCAAGTTTCCATAAAGTTATGAAACATACTTTTAGACAATTTTAGCTTGTCATACTTTTTTGTCTCGTATGACCACACGCGATTATATTATTTTAGAAAGCGTCAACACGGCCATTTGCATGTTTTATAATAATGCTGAAAAAGTTTCAAAAACAAATAAAACAAAACTAATAAAATAAAAAGAGATTAAAATAGAAAAAAATAAAAACAAATTAATAATTTAAATAATAACAAATTAATAATTTAAATGTACTGTTTTTATTTTTCTTTCTTTAGAGTTACATTCAGCAACAAAATTAGAAAGGCGAAGCAAAAACAAAACAGTTTGAAGTCTTCAATAAAAGAATGTTTTTCCTTTTCTTAATTTTTTTTGAAGATACAAAATACAAATTGCAATGTGTTTGTAAAATTTATTTGTATAATTTTAATGTAACAGCAAGGGTCGAATTAAGCCAATGCAAAACCCAAAATCTGGAAAAATATCTAGTATTCAAAATTTTAGTTTATACAAAACCATGTTCCTTGTTTTTAAGGGGAGAATCAACTTTAATTTGTTAGCGAAAAAATAAAAAATAAAATAATAAACTTACGATTACAAAAGTAATAACACTCTAGTTACTAACTGCATTACAAAAGTAATAACACTATAATAGTGTCATTACTTTTATAACGCACTTATAACTTTTAAAATTCATTCTTTGTTCAAGCAACATTAGTATTCCCGAATTATAATTGAAGTAGAAAAATATCTAGAAGAATAAAGTGGATGTTCAAATAATATTAAAACTAAAGTAACTTATAAAAACGTAACAAACAACTTTATGAAAATGTATTGTATTCAAAGTTTAGCATTATGAAAAACGTTTTCATAAAATTTTTTATTGGTTGATTTTAAAATTAACGCGCGTTTTTACCTGGCGTTTTTCATTATGCTAAACTTTTTATAAAGTACTTTTTTATAACGTTGTTTAAGTGATATGTGAAAGTTCCTGAAATTTTTAATAATATTTGAATATCTGGTTTATTTTTTCTAGATGCTTTTCTACTTTAATAAATGTTTGGAATTAATAATGTTGTTTGAACAAAGAATGAACTTTAAAAGTAATAAGTTAACTTTAAAAGTAATATAATATAAGTTAACTTTAAAAGTAATATAAGATAACTTTAAAAGTAATATAAATGTAATAACACTATTATAGTTTTATTACTTTTATAATGCAGTTAGTGACTAAAGTGTTATTATTTTTGTAGTCATTAGTTTATTGTTTTGTTTTTTGTAACTTTCTTGCTAGCAAACTTTTGATAATTTGCTCCTTATAAACAAAGTACTCAACTTTGCATGAACTAAAATTTTAAAGACCTAATATTTTACCAGAGTTTGCAAATCGCGATCGTGTAATTTAACTCTTGATACAAACAGATGGCGATACATATTTTCTCTTTCCTCTTTAAAAGAAAAAAACACATAAAATATGGGAAAATCATCCCTTTTAATGCCTAAAACCATTTTTTTTTTTTTTTTTGTCGCTTTGATTTAATGAATTTTGTTGCCCATAATAATAACCACCTAGAAAAAACAAAAATAAAAACAACACACAAGTTATTGAAACTATTATTATTGTTTTCTATTTAAGTTTACTTTAATTTCTTATGTAGTTATTAAATTTAAAACAATTCTTCAGTAACGCATATAATATAACTTGCGCAAACAGCCGTTATCACGTTCTCTAACTTTAAGTTTAGGTGGTTGTACAAGACGAAAAACTGCACGCCTTTCTCGGAAGGCTTGTATCATATTGTTTTGTTTGCACAATTTAATAATGTATGTTGTATTTATGTTGGAACTGAAGCAGTTGACTCATGGAGTATTGGTAGGGTTGCCACTTTCTTAGTTTTTCCATGGGAGGATGCAATTAATTTTTTATTAATTTAGCACAGCACAAAGGTGACCCTAACACATATAGGACATTAACCTATCGTGCTAAATGGACATAACTTATGGTGTTACCAATGGTAACCTATGCTGTTAAAATTCATTTGAATATTAAATTTTTTACTTTATAGTTGAATATTCAAAAAATTCATTTCATACTTTTTATTTAAATGTTTTTTTATTTTAATTTTAGATTTATAAAAAGTATAAATTTAGTCTAATTTAATACAATTTTTTAAAAAATTATAAAGTAAAACTTAAGAAGAATAGAATTTCTAACGTTGATTTACATGTTTTGTAGTGCATTAAAATCAGCATAAAAAGCTTAATATAAAAGTTGATACCTCATAATAAAAAGTGCCATGGTCAAAATAAAATTTTTGTGACATTATTTTAACTCAAAAGAAATGAACTAAGACAAATATAGGCTAAAGTGGTGTTGGCCCACTTTAATTTTTTTAATGATTTTGTTGCATAAATTTTTATTGTTATAAACTGTTAAATACCAAACTTTATTTTTAAAAAACAACATTTTTTTTAATGAATAGAATTTTTTTGTAAATAAATTTTATGCATTTTTTTTGTTTAAACTTTGTATTTTTTGTAATTTTTATTGTCTTTTATTTTATTTTTTTGTTTTAATTTAGTAATTGAGCAGACCCAAGCGCAGGTAAAAGCCTACTTTCCAGCTGAAGCTTGTATATATTATATATTTGTGTCTACTTATAGTTGGTGATATTGGTAAAGTTCCTGAAGCACATGCTTACATTGAATTGCTCAAGGTAAATCAAATTATTCATGAAAATGATTTAAGCTATCTGCGCAAGTCATTTGATGTTATTAGAAGAAATGATCTTATAAAAATGATTGATGAATTTGAAAAGAGTCAAAATCAAGGAAATGATTCAAGTTAGTTTTTCATAGTTCTTTATGTTTTACTATATTACGATATTTTTTAGTAATTTATATATTGTCTAGTCATATGTTCTTAATGATAACATACGTTCTTAATGCGCATTTTGCACTAATTATGTTTTGTTTACAGATGACTTTTTTGTTTTCAATAATAAAACAAAATTCAAGTTAGTTATTATAACTTTGTACTTTTATTTCATTTTTTCTATAAGTGTTTCTTAAACTATTATTTAACACATAATAGGGTGGTGCTAAAACAACTTTTTTTTGAAAATGTCTGCTGACACCCCCTATATTTGTACTATATAATAAAATAATACTGGATTTAAAAAAATTTTAAATAAAAAATCTTTTTAGGGGTGCTATGAGATCCTTAAACATCAAACAAGTACCTAATATTATCAAAAAAAAAAGGTTTTTCAAAAGTATGTCATATTGGGTCTCAAATGAAGCAAAATTGTATAAAAATTTCAAAAATAATCACTACTTTAAAAATAAAATAAATTTAAATGTAAAATAAAAATAATTTAGTCTAAAATGGTTCATATTTTAAAATCTTTTATATAATTTCGCTTCATTTGAGACCTAACATGACATACTTCTGAAAAATTATTTTTTTTATAATATTAGAGACTTGTTTGATGTTTAAGGGTTTTGTGGCACTCCTAAAAATATATTTATTCAAAAAAATTTTAAATCCAGTATTATTTTATTATATAGAACACATTTAGGGGGTGTCAGCAGACATTTTCAAAAAAAGTTGTTTTCAGCACCACCCTAATACATAATGATAATAATAAAATATAGCAGGGAGTTTTCTGACAAAATTTTGATACAATTAGGGACAAATGGGTTTCTTAAAATTCTGCCTGGGCATTACATAGAATCCAATTATAAAAAAATATGTTTAGCTTAACATTTCAACTGTAGTGGTCTTTATGGTCTTGGGTAGGTGAATTAACATTATTAAAAATATAAATATGATGAAAACAACCACTAATTAAGTTAAGAGAGTTAAAGAGCAAGATAGCAATTTTTGACAAACTTGAAAAAATGTAAATTGCATATGTCAAGAAAACACGAAGGTGGGAAAGAATTGCATCGATGTTCATGAAAAAAGTTTGATAAAGGTTTTTTGAGCATAAAAGAACAGTTGCAGTAAAAGGATGCAACATAGTTGAATGAAGGATGAGTTTTTGTTAATGGAACAAGTGATTTTAGTTACCTTGGGCAGCGACCAAGATGGAACAGAAGCTCAAACAGCGACCAAGCTGGAACAGGTCTTCTCCAAAATATACTTTTGGATAGTATATTTTGGAGAAGACCAGCAAGCTTGAATTTATTAAAAGCCTTTAAAATATCAAGAGCAATAATCCATGTCTCACCACTTATATCTAATGCACTATATAACATCTCTGTTAAAACAGTTATCGCTGTTATAACAGTTAACAAGTCATAACAAGAGAATCAAAATATTCGAAATTATTATAATTTTATTATGTCAGAAAGTTGTTGGACTTTGGAAATGAGATATTAGAAGTTTGTTTATTAAAAATTCAAAGAGTTGGCTAATAAATAAAAAGAAGATTGGGCAACAGTTAGAGAGGGTAAAAGCAATCTTGAGAATTAAAAAAAAATTGAAACCACATATGTTGTTTTTCAGCAAATAGGTATATAACAAGTTGAGCACTTGTTGTATAGTTTAAACTGTAATGAAAAGAGTTCTGAAGTATACTTTTCTATAGACTGTTCAGGAATGATATTCAAACCACAAGCTGTAGAAGAGTTTAAGTGAAAATAGCTTAAGGAATAGAAGTATGTGGGTGATTTTAATGTCTAACTTTAAGTTAAACTGTTTGCTTGTGATGATAACTAGAGTTTAGCTATTAGATTCATAACACAAGTTAAATGAAAAAATCTTAGCAAGTAATTTTGCCTTAAGAGAGGTAATAAGATAAGACCATGTATGTAGCAATGTTAGACTTGCCTTTATTTATTGACAAGTTTTCCTAAAACTCTCTAGAACATAATCTCTGAGATGAAATAGGTATAAAAATAGATAAAAAGGTTTAATAAGCTGAGAATATTGGACCTTTGCATTAGACAATATCGTTTATATATATATATATATATATATATATATATATATATATATATATATATATATATATATATATATATATATATATATATATATATATATATATATATATATATATATATATATATGAGTGAAAAAACCAGAGTTTATTTTAGGATACCGCTTTATTTTTGCCAACAATGGCAGGGAATGATGTTTTAAAGTTCCCCCCCCCCCCCCCCCAAATCTCTCTTCTAGTTAAAACCAGTTCCGCAAAAATGATTTTTTTTTTTAATATATGAGTTTATCGGTGGACAATGTTACATTAGTTATGATAAGAAAACTATTTTACTTAAGAAATTAATAAACACTTTTGTTGCAAATACCATGCTATTTGTAAATAATTGTTAAAAATTTTAAAAGTGATTTCAAGGCGCCTTTTAAATTAAAGATAATTAATTTAAAAAATGTTATATTTTTTAAAATAAAAAACATAGATATTATATTTATATAGATATTATATATATTTTTTATATATAGGGTTACCAGATGTCTGTCTTTTACAGAGGAATATTCAGCGCCAAACCTGTAAAAAATAAATTGTTTTATTCTTCTTTATAAAAGCCAGACATTTGGAAACCCTAATTATATATATACAGTCCTTGTTAAGAAGTGTTTCCTCATTTGAATTTTATGTATGTATTCACGATTTTACGTACGTGTTACACATTTTACGTTACGTAAAAACTTTTTCCAAGTTTCAAGTTTATTTTAAACAGTCTTTTAAAACAGATTATGCGGAAAACATTAAATGTAATTGTTGTAAAAAATATTTATGGAATATTTTTTTAATTAGATAAAAAAACAGATAGATATTCTTTTTCTATTTTCCATTTTTGAAAAAAAAAACGTTTTTTAATTTATTTTATTAAATTTAAATTAATTTTATTATTATTGATAGTTTTAGTAATTTATTTGATTAAATTTAATTAAAATTCTTTTAAAAATTTCAAAACAATTTTTTTTTTACCGATAAAATTTCCAAAATTAATGTAAAGTAAAATTAAAATTTATGTAAAGTAAAATTTAAGTAAAAAAAAATTTAATAAATTAAATTCAAGTTACTTGAAAATGTTTGCATTACATATAACTTCATTTTAATTTCAGTTAAGTTTCAAATACTGGTCTGAATAATGCACTTTTATAAATTTATAAATGACGTCAATACAAAAAAGTTTTTTTAACTTGTTTAAATGTTATGTTTGGGTTTTCCTTTTTCCGTTAAATTTTATATAATAGAATTTTTTTATAAAACAAATCAAACTTTAAACCAATTAAAAAGAATGTGAATAAAAAAAAATTAATACTTTTGCTATATATATATAAGATAGGTAAATTTCAAAATTATACTGATACTTGTTAAAAACAAGTTCTGGTAATAACAACTTAAAACCAAAAAACTATTTTTCTTTTTGAATTTAGTAAGAAATAGTAAAAATATATTAGGTTTCATGGTACATAAAAATAAAATATTTTAATGGAAATAAAAAAAAACAAAGCCGAAAAGCGGAAATCTTCGTTTAAATACACTTTTTATTTTATCGAAAGCCAGTTAGCACAAAGGTTTTTTTTAAAAAGGAAAAAACCCATTCTAATTGTGTACACTTAAATCCCTTTAAGAAAATCAAACATAAACAAGTGTCCCTTCATTTTAAAAAAATAACAACAAAAATAAACTTTTAAAGAAAAAAAATTAAGCTTTTTTAAAAAAAAAAAATTTTTTTTTTAATCAACATTTAAATTTAATTTATAACTTTTATTTTTTAATTTTTTTTTTTTTTTTTTTTTTTTGCGACAACTTAACTATGGCTTTTTAGATTTTTTAAAAAGTTTAAAAAATGCACTAAATAAAGTATAAGGTAATAAACCGAGAAATTGTTTTTAAAGATTGTATGCTATAAAAGACATTTAAATTATCAAAAGATATTTTGTTAAAAAATAGATTTATTATGATGAGTATAAATGTTTTTAAAACAGTTTGTACAATTTATTTTATAAAAACAACAAAAACAATTTTTTCAATAAACTTATTGATGAATCCATAAATTTAATTTAATTGTCAAAAACATAGCAAAGTTAATTTTTTGTTATACTATGTAAGCTGTTTTAATAAAATTTGTTTACACTTAAACGCTTTTAAATAAAGTTTTAAAACGCTGTTAAATAAATTATCATAGAACATTAATTAAAACTTTTTATTTAATGTTCTATGATAATTTAATTTATTTCAAAAGTATTTTTTTTTTAATAAAGAATTTTTTTTTAAACAATTTGTTTTCTTAATTTTATAAACTACAATGACAAAAAATGCATTTCAATAAACTTTTTTTTAAAATACTTTTTGATAATTTAAATAAAGTTAGTCTTTTATTAAAAGAAAATTCGATGTAAGTATTTTTTTATTTAAAAGAGTTTGACTAATGTTATAAAAGCATTAGAAAAGATCGAAGTTTTATAGTTTGTAGCGTTAGTTTGAAAAGGTTATTAACTCTATTCTTCTAATATAAAAAAAAATAGTTAGAAACTCATCAAATCAACACAACAAGTTATTTAATCTTAACATGCAATATATATTTATTATATTTATTATATATATATATATATATATATATATATATATATATATATATATATATATATATATATATATATATATTATATTTATATATATATATATATATATATATATATATATATATATATATATATATATATATATATATATATATATATATATATATATATATATATATATATATATATATATATATATATATATTGATTTTTTGTTTAATTTTGATTTTAATATTGAGCAACTTTTTTCAGGTTTAATGTTTTGAAAATCTTTTTTGCTCTAATAGTTTTCTTTAAAAGTGTTTCTAATACAAAATATTTAGATAAAGCAATTTCAGCCTCAAACGCTGATTGGCTGAAGAAACCAAGTAGTTTTCAATATAGTCAAAATGTTTTTAAGTGTTTTTCTAATAATATTTTGGATGATATAGTGGATGTTGCTACAGATGAACAAGGTAGTCAAGAAGTTCAATTCTGGAAAAAATCATTTTTGCCATCTTCAGGTAATCATTAGATTATATTTTTTGCATTAATTTGAAGTTATATACATATATATATATATATATATATATATATATATATATATATATATATATATTACTTTGATTAATTTGAAAGTTATTAATTTGAAAATCAAAGTAATATATATATATATATATATATATATATATATATATATATATATATATATATATATATATATATATATATATATATATATATATGTATATATATATATATATATATATATATATATATATATATATATATATATATATATATATATATATATATATATATATATATATATATATATATATATACATATATATTACTTTGATTAATTTGAAAGCATTAATTTGAAGTTATATACATATATATATACAAATATATGAAGTTATATACATACATATATACATAAGTTATATATATATATATATATATATATATATATATATATATATATATATATATATATATATATATATATATATATATATATATTTATATTTATATTTATATATATATACAAATAGTATTGCGTACTAAGGTAAGCAATCTGGCGTCATACTGAAATAGCCTGCTGCTGGGGGCTTCAGTACATACATCGACTGACAAATAGCCTGACTCGCAGTGGAATGTTGCTACATCGACTGAGGGTTTGGGATGTGGAAGCAATTGTTTTATTCATCATTCTTTGTTTTTTCTTCTTCTTTTTCGAAAAAAATGGTATAGCTAAAGGTAAGCAGAAAAAGTGAGCAAATTCTTATCAAAACACGCTTTAGTAAGTGTGTGTATATATATATATATATATATATATATATATATATATATATATATATATATATATATATATATATATATATATATATATATATATATATATATATATATATATATATATATATATATATATATATGTATATATATATATATATATATATAATATATATATATATATATATATATATATATATATATATATATATATATATATATATATATATTATATATATATATATATATATATATATATATATATATATATATATATATATATATATAGTCTTGCATGGTAGTCGAAAAGTTTGTTCCATAAACTATAGTTTTAAATAAAGCGCTAATAAACCAGACCATAAAAGGTTTAAAAACTTAAACATGTTTTTTTTTTCATCCTTAAAGGGATCCCAAACTCCCAACACATGTTGTGTTCATATTAAAGATAATGTTAAAAAAAAAGGTTTGAACCAAATTTTTTTGATTAAAAATAAATAATGAATGCATACCGTGAAAAACAAATGTTGTTGTTTTTGCCAAAGCTTGTCTTCTCCATTTTTTTCAACTACTCAGAGTCTTCAAATTATGCGTCGCAATCTACAGACTTTGGCAATTCCTTAGAAGCGCATTTAATTCATAAAAGTTTTAGTATTTGACGTCACGGTAGACTTTTAACAAAAGAAACTCTGCTAATATTTTTATTTATTTTTAGTCGAAGTTTTTTTGGTTATTTGTTTAGTTTTTTTTTTTTTTTCTATTTTTAATATTTAAAAAGATATTAAAAACCTTAAATATTTTATGCTGGTTCGTTGCTATAAATTGTTATTGCGCCATATATTTAATGTTTATAAATTATGAATATTTATTATCTCAATCAAGACTCTGATAAATAAATGTTTTACATTAATTACCCATATAAAATTAGTAACAACATTTTTATTTGGTTAGACGATATTTTGTCTCAATTTGCTTGAGGAAGTCAAACGAAAAAAATTAGTTTGAATAATCATGTCGAAATATATTTAAAACAAATTATTTAATTGACGGGGGTACTAAAGTCTTTTTATAACAAAAGTAGGTAAAAAAATAAATAACTAAATAAAAAGCTCAACATTAAACATCTTTTTTTTGTTATATTGCAACTGTAATTATTAAAATATTAACTATTAAAGCAATTGCTTGTAATTACTTTTTTTCTGCGGAAAAACAAAAAACTTCATAGCGTAAAGATGACCAGAGAAGTTAGAAAATAGTTTTGATTGTTTAATGTAAGGTTTAGAATATATAATACTGCGCTCTCTTGCACAAAAATGAGAGACTGTATATATGTTCTATATAATGTAAAATACTCGTAAGAAAATCATAAGATTGGTAAGTAAAGCTTTAATATTTGTTTTAATTTAAAAACAAAAGAAATATAAGTAAGATATATAAATCAAAAAATTATTAAGATATCTTTAAAAAACAAGTTGCTCCTATAAAATAAAAATAATTTATCATTTTTTCTTTTTACAAATTTTTTTTGCGATGTTTAGAAAAATAATACAAATAAATTTGTTTTGCTGCATGTTAAAAAAATACTACAGTAGAAAAACGCAGCTTAGTTTAATTACACTTTTTTTTTGTTAAAAGTCTACCGTGACGTCAAATACTAAAACTTTTATGAATTAAATGCGCTTCAAAAGAATTGCCAAAGTCTGTAGATTGCGACGCATAATTTGAAGACTCCGAGTAGTTGAAAAAAAATGGAGAAGACGAGCTTCGGCAAAAACAACAACATGTTTTTCACGGTATGCATTTATTATTTCTTTTTAATCAAAAATATTTGGTTCAAACCTTTTATTTTAACATTATCTTAAATATGAACACAACATGTGTTGGGAGTTTGGGATCCCTTTAAATGATAGATTTCTTGCCCAAACCAAACCCTTAGTCAATATAGCAGCACTTCTTTGTAGCAGCAGGCTACAAGGTAGTTGATGTAGCAACACTCCCAGCATGTTTAAAAAATATATTTTAACAAAACAAAAACAGTTTTAGTAAAAAAAACTTTGTAGTCATTATCATTGGGATTTTTTAAAAAAAGATAAAACTTTTAAGGTAGGTTGGTTTTAATTCCGCATATTGCATAATATTCAGTATAGTTGAAGACAGTTAAAATATGATTACTCTCATAATTTGAGCCATTTTATATGAAAAATTGCTTGCAGATTTGATTTTTTAAGATCTTTAAAAAGCGTTATATGCAAAAATTGACGTTTTAAATATGTTCATATTTAAATGTTTTTTAATATTATTTGCATTGCTGAATGATTTAATTTCATAATAATTTATAACAATTAAGCTAAATTTATAATAACTAGTTAACTATTTGAAGATTCAATAGTGAAATTTTTATTCTTATATTTAATTAAGAATATTAAAATAAACATTATTTTCACAATTTAAAACATTTTGAACAGGGATATATATTTTAAGGAAAATATTTCAATTAAAAAATATCATCATAAGAATGGGAATAATGTCCTTTTGAAATATATGGTTTACTCATCTTCCTCTTAAGTAATTTAGTTAAAATACAGCTTTATTAATTTTCGAATCTATAAAGATATTGGGACGCTTTCGACACGAGTTTTATGCTCGCTTAACACTCTAGGGGTGAGATGGAAAGTGGGTTTCAGGTTTAACATTACTGTCAATCATATATTGGATTTGTTTAATTGAAGAATGTTGTGCTGTAGGGGGCTCTGTAACTTTTGTAATGATTAGCATTGAAATTAATTTCCGGAATTTTCTTCAATTTTATTTTCAAACTTTCGTTGTTTACTCGTTGTTTCGTTGTTTACTGTTAAACTTATTGTTAAAAAAACATTAAAGGTTTTTAATGTTTTTTTGACAATAAGTTTAACATCATCAAAGTAAAGATTATTTATTCTAGTAATAGTAGAATAAATAAGGTGCGGGGATTCATGAAGTTTTAAAGATTTTTTTATTTCGAACCACGCTGGAATGTAAACCTGAACAACAAAATAACTGCCTTTAGTATGCAAACAGAGAAGGCGAATAGCTAGAGTTAACCACCTTACATGGTTGAACGTTCCAATTTTATAGACGGCTTATTTATCAAAAAGTTTACCAAAGCCTATTCCTTTGCAATATTCAAATAAAAGTCTTTGATCGCAACTAAGGTCAATTAGTATTTCTTCTGGAATATATCCTTCTACAGTTGGGTTTTTGATACGTTTAAACAAAACTTAATTTCTATCCTGAATATTTTCAGTGCATCTTTTGCCAAGTAGACTACTGATGCTTCTTGGCTAGTGTCAACATCAAGTTTTATACAAAGAGCTTGTAACGGAAGTTCATTTTGGCGCATCCAATTAGATGTAGTTTTCTTTTTAAAAACTCTTCTAATTTTATCACTGAGCCACTTATTGGTCCAGTATTAGTAGCAGTATTATCGATATGAACAGCTTGTATACTTTTTAATCTGTTATGTTCTTGTAAAACAATGTTTCGGTAGCAATTACTAAGACTGTAGCACAAGAAACAGGAATCGTCCTATGAGTCAAATGATTTCCACTTGATTTTCCATCTTCATAAGTAAATGTGAGGTGATGTTCAGGTTCAATGTATTTCTTTAGTACTTCTCCTTGAGGTGAGTTTATTATTTGACTTATTTAAGTTATCTGATTGAGCTTGCTATCAACCCCAAGACAAAATAACTGTTTTTTTTTGTTTTGAGTCCACATCTTCACTAACAAATTTTACTTTTAACTTGGCCCTATCTAATTTGTATTTGTCAATCAAAATATTTTTTATATCAACATCATTTTTCAGGAGATGTTTAATGTCATGTAGTAAAGCATTTGACCTATGTTTGACTAACATTTGTTTCTAGTGTTATTGCAAATCTTGGAAGTTCACCTTCATCCTAAAAAAAAATAAATAAAATAAAATGCTTTTTGTTTCATCTATTACAAATATTTTCTGTATTTATAAAATATTTACCTCCGTATTGGATAAATCACTTGTTTATTAAATTAAGTTTATGTGTGGTATGAGGGATTCATCTTTATCAACTAGCTTATGAGATATTTTTTGTCGTTCTTTATCAAGTCTTTGAATCCTTTTGACAGATAATCTATCAACGAAAAAAAGTTGATATGCACCTTTGAAACCATTTTTTTTCCTTTGATCACAAAGATAAGCTCCGTCTTCAATAGGTACTTTATTACTTTGAGAGCAAAAACATACAATATGTTCTTCTATGCAATTTTTATTATTACATGAAACTTTTCTGTCACTACAGGGAAACACATCTAATATTTTACTAATATATATATATGTATATATATATATATATATATATATATATATATATATATATATATATATATATATATATATATATATATATATATATATATATATATATATATATATATATTATATATATATATTGTAAGATTTTTTATACTAATATATATATATATATATATATATATATATATATATATATATATATATATATATATATATATATAGTATATATTACTGTTACCCGCAGTATCAGGAATTAGCTAAATGCTATAATATCATTTGCTACTCAGTAATTTACGGTTTATATTTGTGCTTTAGATTGTTATAGGACAGAAGTTTGTTTTTAGTTAGTTAATAGATTTGAAATTTTGTATGTTTTATTATTTGTTTAAAACAATTTATAGGATTTAATTATAATGTGTATTATTTTATTAAAAATCAATAAATAAAATGAAAAATATATAATAATAAAAAAAAAAAAAAATTTAAAAAAAATGAAATAACTAAAAAAAATTTAAAAAGTGGATAAAATAATATAAATTATATTACGAAATAAATTACAGAGCTGTGTATGTGAATGATTTATTAGTTAGCCTTGAGATTAGTGTTTATTAGTTGTTAATTAAGTTTGTAGCGAGCTTTGTAATTTTTTAATAAAAATTTATTCTCGTGGCAGCATTTTGATATAATTTTGGATCGTTTATTTAGAAGTACATCAGGTTTAGGATAGGAAATAATTGCGAATTTTTCATATAGACATAGTGGGCATCTTTTGGAAATATTTGAGTAAAGGGATACAGTTTTTAGAATAGAACATGTGAATATAGGGGTTTCTTTAAAATTGTTTTTCAAATCCCATATGAAGTTTGATAGGGCGGTCGACTTTTTGTATTTAATATTATTAAATGATGATTTGTGGTTGTTGTATCTGGTTTTCCACTCACCCTCCGTTAATCCAATATAAACTTCGTTTGGCTGATTTTTTGCTGCGATGATGCGTTTATATATAACGTTTGTAGATTTACACTTTCCATTCATGGGGCATTCCGCTTTATTTCGACAAATGCATTTTTGGTCATTATTTTCAATTTTCGAGAAAATAATTTTTTTGTTATGGTTTTTAATAATTTTTTTGATATTATCAGTGCAACTTTAGCTTATTTTTACAGTGTTTCTGTTAAAGGCTTTGTGTAACTTGTGGGTTTTTGGAAAATTATTGTCGAGTAATTTCAAAAATATTTTGGCGACGTTAGTGAAGAAGTTTTTGTTATATTTCGTTTACGATTTCTTTGGGGTGGATTTAGATTATTATTATATTTTAGGGAGTTGTTTTTGTACCTGCTATTTTTTAGTGCTTGTTCATACTCGTTTTTGGATTGGTTAAATATAACTTCCTTTGAGGAATTTTGGGAAAGTCTTTTGCATGTTGAAGTAGGTATTTGTTTAAGGATTTGTGGTGGGTGGTTTGAAGATGTATGAACGTATTAATGATTGTCGTTAGGTTTTTTTGAATTGTTTATAGGTGTTTTAGGATAAATTAAAAGTGACATCAAGGAATCTAGTTTATCTATTTCAACAACATCAATCTCTAGTTCATTTTTGCTCAATAGATAAACTAAATGAATCTCAATTGAATCTGAAATTCAAAATCTCAAAACATCTAGTTTATCTATTAAACACTCTTTAAAATATACATTATTAACATTATTATACATGATAATATAAAGATACTATCCTTAATATTCACATATATACACTTATATATATATATATATATATATATATATATATATATATATATATATATATATATATATATATATATATATATATATATATATATATATATATATATATATATATATATATATATATATATATATATATATTATATTATATATTATATATATATATATATATATATATATATATATATATATATATATATATATATATATATATATATATTATATATAGTATTATTTATAATTAATTAATTATATTAATATCGTTGAATATAAATTTAGTTGAAAATATTTAAAAATAACATAAATATCGGTAAAATAATGTCCTCACATAGTGTTAAGGAGAGCACGAGTTTTAGAGTTTTTTCTTTTTAGGCTCCTATCACAACAAGTTTGATATAACATACACAAGTTTGATAATATATTATAAGTTTTATTAATTTGATATGACTTACACAAGTTTAAAGGATGCTAATAATTTAAATAATTTATACATTTATAGTTTATACATTGAGATTTCTAAATAAATTTCTTTTTCATTTTTTGTTCAATGCTTAGATAATGAAAATTTGTTTGGGTTGTTAAAAGCTCATACCTTAGTTTAGGCGTACCTTAAAAGCTCATACCTTAGTTTAGGCGTACCTTAAAAGCTCATACCTTAGTTTAGGCGTACCTTAAAAGTTCATACCTTAGTTTAGGCGTACCTTAAAAGCTCATACCTTAGTTTAGGCGTACCTTAAAACAAAAATCTTAGACAAGTTCGAAGAGCACCATTAAATGGTTGTGACACTTTAGCGGTTTAATTAATCATTTAAGAAGCCATTTAATTTACCTTTAAACGGCATGTTCAAACTGTTTATTAACCAATAGTTAAGTTTATGTAATATCGAATGCTATAATTTTATTAATATTGAGATGATGGACATTTTAATATCAGTATTAATATTATTATTCAATATAAGTTCTCAAATGCTTTTGTTTAAACATAATTCCTTAAAGGAAAATACAATATTGGTTCGTAAATGAAAATTAATGGTTTTTGTTCACCATTGATAAATTCAATTTGATTGTTGTTTTTTTAGGGAGAAGGAATGTTAAAAGTCTCAATTGCGACGATAAAGGAAGTTCATGACGATTGCTATCTTTTAGTATCTACTGGTATGTACATGAAAGTTACACTTTCTGTTCTAAAGCTATTTTAATTGTTTAGATATTTTATTTAATGTATTGCTGTGGCATTTTCATAGCTCTTCAGATATGTAATTGATCTCGCAGCCATAGACCATCTTTAGTATTGAACTCAAATTCTACGTGAAAACACATTGAAGACACCAGTTTTCGGAATTTAATGATAGTGAAAGAGAATCTAAAAATGGTGTCTATCGTCGAAGACTTTCATTTTTTTCTTTTTCGGCGTTGTAGTTTAGTAGAAACCCCTCGGTACTTAAAAGGCGATCTCAGATTCAACAGTCGACTATGGAGATGCGAAAAATCTGTCATCGCAAAAAAAGTGATTTGTCCCCTTTTTTGGTGTCATCGTCTCTGTTTAAAAAATAGAAATTAAAAAATTTGTAATCTTATTTAAAGAATTTATTTATTGTAATTTTTACAAGTATGGTATTCCATATTCCAATATTTATAAATTTAATTTATAACAATAAAATTAATTTATTGCACTTGTAGCAACTTTTTAACAATTTTGAATTTATTTTTGCAATAAAAGTTATTTTTCGTAAATTAAAAAAATTTAACTTATACAAATGTTTACAATTTTTTAAACTATTTTCTGCGGATAAGTTTTATAGTAATATATTTACGAGCACCGTAATAGTTTGCCAAGCGCATTGTTTATTGTTGGGCCAACAAAGCTTTTTAGTTAGCCGTATGCTGTTGTTACGTGTTCGTGGGCAAACGCCATTCCGCATATTTTACAAAGTACAGGTTCGGCGATTTAAACTTTAGAAATGCATTTTCATAATTACAAAGAATATATTTTCTGTAAAGTGGTATATCGTTTGTATTAGGCTTTTCAATTTTTCTTCTTACTGAATTTTGTAAATTGTACCAGGTCGAAAGGTACAGTGGTCGTTTTTCAAAGTGGTTTCCTTTTTTAAAGTGTTAAAGGATGAATAACGATAAATTTTAAGAATTCTAGGGGCTGACTTTTTGGCTGGAGAGTCTAGAGTTGCTAAGTCGGGAGATCGCTAACGCCAATCAAAGTCGTCATTTTGCTAACGTCAATCAAAATCGTCATTTTGCGAAGATTATTTTATTACAAACAATTGATAAATAAAAGACGCATTATTTTGGCTAGGGCTGTGTAAGCTATTGCATTTTCCTGTTGGAATCAAAAGTAACCATGGCATTTTCAGTCAGAATTAAATTAAATTCCTTTGTAATGCTCTCCGTTCTCGATGTAGTTACGAACACTTTTTACGTAAAAGGTTATTATTTTTAAATCTCTCCAATATCGAATATTAAAAAAAATACTTATAAAATGTTTTCGCTTACCAAAAACATTCGTTTATAAATTACGCCATGCGATTTTTGGTCGTTTTTGACCTCCTGCCTCCTCACAAATTTGTAATTCTTAAATAGCATAATAGCATGTACAGTATGAGCACTAATATCTCCCCCCCCCCCCGTCATCCTTCAACTAAAGCATGGCGTAATTTGATGTCGATCCCAAAGATTAATATATAGATTTCTTTTTGCTTACTCGGTTTTAAACAAAAATGTTGCTTTTTTTTTTAGATAGTAGGATTAAAACAATATTTTTGATTTGCAATGAGTGAGATCTATTAAACTTTCAAATTAACTGTTTAAAGTTGATTTAGAACGCGGTATAATGGGACAGTAATGCCTGAAGCCTTATATCTAAGCTAAAAAAAATTTTTTTTAACATTTTCTTTGATAAAACAAGTTATTCCCTTCATTATTGTAAAAACAAAAAATAATTTTAAAGGTACCAAAATACATCAGTAAGTTTGCAAAAAACAAAAAACACGACAAAAAATTTATCTTTAACTATTGCTGACTTGTTTTATTTATGAAAAGCTTATATTTTTTAGACAGTATTTTTTATCCTCTTTTAAAATTTAGTTTTGAAAAACTTTTTATAATTGACAATATTACTACCATTTTGTTTACGGTTTGATATTTTATTTTTAATCTAAAATAATATTTTCCTCATTTAGAAAAACATTATTAGTAGTAATGTGGCCGTGGCGCAGTGGTTAGAGCGCCTGCTTTATAAGCAGTAGATCCAGGTTCGAAACGAGCTCTGGACATATTTTCACGTCACGGTAAGGAAGGAGGCGTGAACTTCCTGGTTAAATGCACTTCCGCGGTGCTCTGTGACAATACTGTAAGGCCTTCTTGGGGCACCTAAAAGAAATAACAAAAAAATAATAATAATAATAAATTCAAATAAATAGTAATAATGAAAACAACGGCGGTAAGATGTTACCATCGTTGTTTACATTGTTTATAATTTCTTAAGAAATTATATAAGAAAGATCAATCATCCAAAATGGTATGAAATACAGTTTTAGCTGTGAGTAAAAAGGAATGAATAACTGCTTCTTTTTGACTTTCCCGTTTTGCCCCACCCACTTGCAAGATGTTAAAATTTTGCAAGTCTAGAGCTTCATTACCTTGGTTGTCGCAGCTTATTTGAGACATTTTTTTTTGTATTTTCGTTTTCTCGTATCAATAAGTTTTAAGAAATTTATAAAAAAACAGTCTTAATTATGATTAGTTTATCCGCAACTAACATTTGTTTCTTAAGTGTACCTACATATGTAGGTACACTTAAGAAAGAGCTACCTATAACCATATTATCTACCCTATAACCATATTATTTACATTAAAGAATGGGAAAAAAAAGCATAAATTCTTATTATTGACATATCTCTCGTTTCTAATGTATATACTATATATATACAAACACGAACAGTAGAAGTAAGATATTTAGTATATACAAACTCTAATATTGGAAACAATATTTTTGAAAACAAACAATGTTTTTCCTCAAACTTTTTCCTCAGCGAGCAAAACAAACGTTTAAACGTTTAAAAATACAAACGTTTTTAACAACAACATGTACGATAGGGTGTTTTTTTTTTTTTGTTTTTTTTTTTTTTTTGAATTTGATATCGCACACCCTCTTATTTTGTAAAAAAGCTGTTATATCAACTTAAGAATGATTCTTATTTTTTAACATTTCTTCAGTTTTTTTAGTTGTGAGTACTAGTGGCCCATATGCCCCAAACTAGATGTCCATATGCCCGTCTACCAATCATTTCTAACTCACCCCATATTCAAATTTATAAATTAAAAAATAACAAAAAATAATGTACTCAAACAAAAATTTTAGAAGAATGAAAAAAATGATTATATGCGTTCAAGAAAACATATTACAAATAGCAACATTTAAAATGATTCTAATAAAATAACATACGTAATTTAATCAAACCTTGACATATAACTAAATTAAAATACTACATAAAAACAATAGCCAAATATGTACTTAACTATATATTTAGTTCATATTATATGTATGCATGTTTGAGTAGACTAAATTGCTGTTATTTAGAATGATTATGGCTTAACTGTCTCTTTGTAGCTTCAGTTGAAATTTTTTTAATGATACTCAACTACTTGGTAATGAAGCCGACGCTGATTGTCATTTTTTATCAAAACTTCATTAAAGTCAGTGGCTAATTTAACTGCCCGCTCTGCACGATCATTAACCACTTTCATGGAACGAACAATCTTACAAACATCCTTGTTGTCATCACGATTAGCCCAAGTTTTAGGAGACGATGTCAAGAACTCTTTTGGTAGATTGAGAGAGTCAAACAAATTCATTGAGCGTCGTGTAACAAAGTAAGCTATAGAAAGTTTAGAGAATGTATAAATCTTGTTTGAAACAAGCCTTTTATTGTCACCTGGTAATGGTTCTTTTTTGTAAGGCATTTACAATTTCCATATTCTCTTCAACAGAAATTTCTTTACTGAATAATGGGAGAGCAGCTAGATTTTTTCTTAAATACCATCATTGAAGTTTAATTTTATTTTTGCAACATTTGCAACTTTTCAGTTAACTTTACGATAATTTTCGATTACTTTTAAAAGAAGGAGATCATTTTTTGGTGCTTTTGTTGTGAGAGGTGCTTAAAACCAAAAACATACATAAATTGTGGTTATAAAGAGACAAATTCTTCTTAAAATCACGATTTCTTTATCTTTGACATTTAATTGATGACGAAAACCAAAAATTTTAAACAGTATATTCCTTTAGCCATCCATTTTTCACGATGGTAAGCCCCGGAAGTGCAAATACTTGTTGTATCATTATTTTCTCCAAAAACGAGAAGAGCTAGTCGCCCGAACTCTTTATAATCATTAAATCGTGGTTAAGTGTCCTTTAAGTTTTTTTTAAAATTTTTCACTACATCGGATTTTTGAGATGCAAACCACTGTATTATGTATAAGTAGCTGATTTTCTACTTCTGTGTTTAGACACTTAAACATGTTGCATGTGAATACTCTTTAGTTTAGCAACTAAATGAGGCTTTGCTATAGTTGGAATATTAGCATTAAGTCAGAAAATCATAACTTCGACTGCAACTGTGTTGCAGGATATTGAAAGAGTTGACTTTTTGACTATCATTTCATAAATAATTCTACATAGTGCAACACCATTTGTTGGCAACTGATTCAGTCTATCTATTGTGGAGAGAATATGTCCGACTAGCCAAACATTTGTAGTTGAGCGTGTTGCTTTATTTGAAGCAGCCATCTTCTTATGTAATATTTTTATACTTTTTTACTATAATAGAAAGAATATTACATAAATTTGATAATTATAAAGCGCTCAAAGCATAATTAAAAAATTAAAAGTCTTAGATAATACACCGCCCCTCATTCTTTCCTAACCCTTTCCCACCCATCATTGGCCAACCATGTCATTACTATTATTAAATTTATACTAATTTAATTTCTGAGCTAAAGTTTACTTAGAAAAAGTTTACTTGAAATTATAGCAAATTAAACGTTTTTGAAATCAAAATAGGCATTTAGAAGCGATTTGGGGTAATATAATGCTGAGAGGGATTAATCTAAATTTGCTTGTACTTTCCAGTCTTCTGTGAACTATTTATATTGTAACATTATAATACTTTAATATTATAATATTATTTAATACTATAATATTATTTTTTTTCAGATCAATTTATAGCAGTATTTTCTGTGAAATAAAAATAGAATTACAAGATAAAGTTTTTAGACAAATTTTGGTCAATTTAGAGTTCCGAAATAGGGTTTGGGGGACCATTTCCTATTTTCAGTTTGCAAAAAAATTTTAACTATATACTTTTTTTTAACAGATCTCACAAAATAAGAGGTTGTGTTATTAAATATTTGAAATTTTTTTTTCTATATAAACAAAAACCACCCTAATGTACAACCTCAAATATTCAAATATTTCAATTTTACTTAAATTTTTAACAGCAAAATTTATTTTATGAAGAGTTATTTTGATAATCTCGATGATAATTTTGATAAAAAATTTTGAAATAATTTGGAGATAAAAAATACTTATTT